CTTTGGTTATGATGGCTTGTTGTTGAAGGTCTCTGAGGTCTCCGCCCGTGTATAATGTGTTTACAATTTTGTATGTTTGTGTATTTTGTAAGTGTATGTCTAATGTCAGGGCTGTGTAGAGTCCATTACAGATGAGCATCTCAGTGCAGTTAGAGTGGGAGGAGGTCAGCGTCTGATCCCATCTTTACTGTTTAGTCCTCTAAATGTGTATTGGAAGAGACTATATATAAAGAAGGCTACATATGTCAGTGTTCACACAGTATGGATGCAAACACTAAAATTAAATATATTAAAGCTAAACATCTACACTTTAAACCCTTAACACCCACCTTCCTTTAACTTCTCCTTTAAAAGCTATAATTTGCAACATTCCTGCATTAAAATGTTATATGTTTTGGTGAGTTGTGTACTTATCCCAAATGTTTCCAACAATCTGCAAACTGAAATCTGCCCCAGAGAAATCTGTAATTTTATCGGTACATTTCACGGTCGTCTGTCAACGTCGGGTTTCTCTGCCAGGATGTCTGGATCTTAAGTTATCAGAGAAACAGGATGAGCTACAGCCCCTTCCGGCACATCCTATGTGCACTGAACAGTGTCTCAGAAAACTGATTTTTAACACGAAGCAGCTTTATTCTGTGTTTTTTAACGGTTTTAACCACAGGTCTATTTGTGGAGACCTATGTGGATAATTGTCCAATTTTCATCAGTGGATGGAGTAAGGAATAAGGAACTCTTCACTCAAATTGCATAAATTATGTACAAGTTCACTCACCCATGTGTGATTGCAAAATCTGCAACTTTTATGTGGCTAATATTAATTCCATAATGATCCTTACTCCCTGAAGTCAAGCTACAGTTAAGCGACAATGTACAAATAATACTGGACCATTTTTGACCAATATTAGTCCTATTTGTAACACAGAGCATTTAGCAGACAGGAGGCATTAGAAAAGAAATTGGGGCATACATTAAGAATATAACTGCTTCTCCAGGCACCACTACACCATCTTACTAAAAATCACACTCACATATATATTTTTGGATAGTGACAGTAGAGATAGACAGGAGATGCAGGGGGAGAGAGAGTGGGTATGACATGCAGAACATTTTAAAGATTAAAATGTGGGTAAGGCCTTGATATGTGGGACTTGCTCTACCAGGTGAGCTACCAGGGCACCTGACATATTTGGTATGTTTGGAAACTTTGACATCTCCTCTATAAGTCAAATAATCTATGATTTTGGATTGTTGTTGTTTAGCTGTACAGAATCCCCCCCCAAAACTTACTCTGAGATATATTTTTTCCCTCTAAAATCAATGCTAACTTTCTTTAGATACTCATAGTGAAAAGATACAGCTGCCTTGAATCCTATCACACAGGGAATCTTATACAGACTGAATGTAAACAGGAAAAGACACTGGTGAATAATCATATGAATTATTTAAAGACAAAATATAATCTGACCAAAACTGTTTTTATTTCACAACTTAATCGTTCTCCAATGACCATTTTATTCCATAAGGACAAATTTCATCATGACATTTCATCAACAGAGCAGTTATGTGAGTGTCTGTTGGTTTTGCCTGAATAAGCAAACAGTCAATGACATAACTGCCTCTGCCCTGTTTGTCTTGGTGGAGGACTGAGGGAGACTTTGTGATGACAAGAAGGATTATAAAATAAACGGTCAATATGAAAAATTATGTTTTACTTAGTCTAATACTGAACACTCAGGGTCTACATACATGTGTTTTAGCTAGATACCACTGGTAGCAAGATAATTCATTTGTAGTTACTATCAGCTTCTGTATTAATTATCTAATGTGCAGTTCAGATGTAAAAGTTGACCCCTAAAGACTGTAAGGAAAACAAAAAATGTCACATATTTTCATTACATTTCCTCATTTCCGGACTTTAATTTCCCCAGAAAATATAGTCAGGCTGCATTAGATCTCGTTCCAAACTATTAATTAGTAATATATTAGGTAACACGATCACCATAAAAAGGATATTTTGAAGCTTCTTTCATTGAAAATCTGGCTGGTTAATTAGTAAAGTTTGTGTCCTTAAGGTTCCTGCAGCACATTAACACCCCACATTATGTAGTTGTGATATTATGTAATTGTGAAAAGTTGAGTGAAGAAGAACAAATATTGAATTTAAAAAAAACATTTGAGTCCTCATTAGCAGCAGAGGGAGTGGACCCTACATTGAATATGTAGTGAGTATACGTATATTAGCTTCTGCCCAAGATAGAAAACTATACAAACGACTACAGATATTATTCCAAAGAGTTTATATATCCATTAAAGTCCATTGATTTACACTTCATATGAACTTTGTTGTTATACTTTAGGAAATGTATGTAAGACTTCACAGCCACTACTGCGTGAGGTCTGTAGACCTCCAACATGGCAGCCAGAGGGTGCATTACATCCGTCACCTGAAAGCTTTCTTACGGTAAATGTCGGCAAACTGCAGCATGTTTGGTAGCTTGAGTGCAAATTGCTCCAGTTAATGGTTTGACATTTGTATAGCAGCTTAGCAGCTCTGTGGGATGCGAGACAGACTGCTGCCAGGTGTAAATCTCTTAAAATAACATAAAGACTAACATATGTATGTGAGGTAAAATATATAGAATGAAGTACTTGTTGATACTGTTTTCTTTTTTAATTCAACAGAAGAAGAACCAAAACAACCAAAAACACCAATCACCCTGAACCTTCCCTCTAAGACATGATATGAATACCTGGTTGGGCATCTCAGGTTGTGTTTTCACCTAAAGCGACCTTTAGAGCGTGAATAGGTCAGACTCAGACAAATAGGTCACGGTACGCGATGAGCTCCAGAAATGTGCTCCTAATTTAAATACTTGTGGAACATTGGAAGAAGACATGGGCAGAGGTAAAACTAAATCCCAGAGCACTATGGCTCAATGTGTTTCCAATTCCTTTAAAAAATGTCTATTGTTACAGTTAAAGAGGAAGACTTTCATTGGGCCAATTTCATGACTTAATAACAGGCAGCTTAAATAATATTACAGTGGAGGAGACAGAGGGCAGGGCTCCTCTGCAGTGCTTTCAGTTGCCAAAGACGTTATCCTCCACAGAACCAATGTGAAACACAGCAGATAAAATCATTTAAAATAATCTGCATCTGGTTGCTGTCAGGTGCTGGAAGTTGCAGTTAGTTTTTGTTTACTTTTTCAACATGTTTTAAAGCAGGAGTTCCACTGAGAATAAGAATCTTTTTCAGCAGACACCTGGCCGAGATAACCGGATTTAAACAGCCACCTGGCTGCAACGTGATGAATATTAAGTTACACACAGTCAGCACACAACAATGTGCACCAGAAAAAAAAATGTAATTAAAAATGGGATTATGGGCAAATGCAAAGTACAAAGTCAAAATAGGAATCAGGTCGTGAGCACACAGTAAGTTGTGACGCAACCTGGCATCAAATTGAAGAATTAAATCAATTAAATCATTCAGTGTTGTTTCGGAAAAGCTTGTTTTCACAACTACATCTAAAGGTTGAAGTGTTTTTACCTGTTCTGAATGACCAAACTTAAAGGCAGGATTAAAGGCCTGCAATCATAAACTCCTGCTGATTGCATCTAACTGCCTCCCTGATCTCTCTCCAAGAACTCTATAATAATGGCACAACCTTTCAGACTCTGTGCTCCAAAGGCCCTGACACAATGTCAGCCATCTGTAGTTTTAGTTTTTGCGGAATTTTCCGCACCGTTGGCCCTCATTGGCCCTCGTCTGAGGCTTTTCTGGCTGACTGAGCATGTTTTTTTTTAAAGTATTATTTTTTTGGCCTTTTATGCCTTTATTTGACAGAGAGATGTCGGATTCGAACCCGGGCCGCTGCGTACCTCAAGCTCTACCGACTGAGCTAAACGGGCGCCGCTGACTGAGCATCTTGTGGATGCCAATGGTGAGAGAAATCACTCCGACTGGCAGTTTAGCTTAAGCAAATCAGTGCACGAGCAGAGAAACAGAAGTGAGCAAAGCAGCAGACGACTTTGTCAAGAGGGCACCCACGAAAGGATCGTCAACTTCATCTCTTCTGATCTAATCAGACCTTTTCTTAATAAGAAGCAGCTGTTTTACAAAACCATCTGAGCGTGCAGTCCTAGGTCTTCCTGTGTGTGTTTGTTTTTTACAAACTACCGTCACCTGCTGGTATGAAGAGTTATTACTCGTGCAGGCCCACTGTAGTTGGTGCAATGTGTTCTTGTGTCACGTTTTGTACACAGGCGACGTGAGGCGACGCAACAGTCGGCTTTTGTCACCGTTCTTTGGCGCTTGTTTGGTGTGTCAGGGCCTAAAAGCATTCATGATGTTGCACTTGGTTCTGCAAACAAGGAGATGAAAGTAGTAGTAGCATGAAGAGTAAAAAAAAAGAAAGCTTGACAGAGAATGAAACTTCTATTTCAATCCAGATCACAGAAATTGTATCTATTGATGATTTTGAGGTGAACAACAGTAGAAGTGTCCTTGTACATATTTCATTAACAACCCTTCTTTTTCACCAGATTCCTCCACACTAGCACCCCTGCTGTTTCGACTGTTCGTCCCAACAAATGAGGGAGCCACGTTTTGTACGTTTCAGTACTGCTGTCTGTCTGAACACGGCCTTGATGATCTGACAAGCACTTTGTTTGAAGCATACTGAGGACCTACCTCATCCCTCCTATGTCTGACTGTCCTGTGTGTCCTGCAGATATCTCCCACCCCTACAAACTCAATATATGAGCACTGAGTCGGCAGCCAGCCATTGGCACACCGGCCAACACAGGGTTGATATAATCAACAGTGAGTCCATCCAACTCCTAGAGTGATTGCATGTTGTGTGCAGCAAATATAAAATGCCAAAAAGGTGCATTTGGGTCCAACAGTCATTCTCACCAGAAGAGCAGCAGAAAACATAAAGAAAACAACAAAGAACATGTGTTGGGGAATTTGCAGCAGGAAGGAAATCACAAACCTTTCCTGTCGGTGCCGTTGGGGACCTGTGAGGTGTTGATGCCCTTGGCGATCTCCTGGTTGGCGGTTTCCTTGGTGACCACTGAGCCTTTGAGCTTACTCTTTGGAGTGTCCAGGGCTTTTAGCTTCTTGGCATGTTTGGTACCCTTGTAGTGGGCCAAGGCCTGGCTCTGTGAGGAGAACAAATAACAGGCTCGATTTAACGCTGGGAAAGCAGCTAAACACAGAGCCAGGATAAAATGAAATATGAAAACTAGAGGAACACAGTCAGAGTCAATGAGGCAGACTAAACATAATTAGCAGGGGACAGTTGATATTCCTTCCAGTCCAGCAAAAAGCGTTAACATTTGATAGTGTTCTTGCCAGTTTTAGGGGGAAAAAAAGAATAACACGCCCAGGTAATTGGTTTTCTATGTAATTTAAGTTCTCTATTTTTTGGACCTGTTGAGTGAATAACTTCAAAAGCATTTTTAACATTTTCCCAAAAGCCTATATGTTGGTCAATGCAGCGATTTAGAATTTAAAATATATCTATTGTTCAACAGCCACGAGTTACTTTAAAAGGGCCTTAATGTCAAATAATTTTTTTCTTGTAAAAACAGTTTTGCTAAATCAACCCATTGTGTAATTTTTCTTTGGTTCCAACCTCTGAATAGCTGTTGAGATTTCACATTTGTCTGGCTATTCAAACTATAAAAGGGTGGTAATGACCATTCAGTGTGAATATGAAGCTAATTTCTTTATTAATAAAAAATAATACCTGGCTGTCAGTGATTGAGAAATTTGTGTGACCTGTGATGTTTAAATTATGGAGTGGCTGTTAGGTTTAAAGTCCGAACACGTAGCACCACCAAGATTCACCTTCACAACAGATTCACCCGGGCACGCAGAAGTGGGACAAATGCAAAGACTTTGAGCTGTCCTTGTTTACCTCTGCACACTTCCCTGCATACTTTGCCTGTGGCAGGAAGGAAGGTATCAGGAGAGATGCAATTGCCTCTTGGAATAAATAAGTATGGCAACCACACATCCCCAGAAGACATTTGTAAGCATCTTTACTTACGGGCCACAGTGGGGATATTCACTAAAGACTGCGGGGACAAAGAGACTGTTCTAGGTAGTATTCTCAGCATTAGCATACAGTGTATAAGCGAAACATGATTCCTGTTTCCTTTTGTTCCCTTTGCAGTAATTAGTGTCCAATGTTTTAGTAGTGATCAGACTGTGAGAAACTAAGCTCACAAGCTTGTAGCTGTGTCTCATTGTTTTGTACTTGCTGTCATTTAATTTCCCTTTTTCCCCCTCAATTCATTTTAACTGGATGTCAAACTTCTAAATTTGATTTGAGGGTTATTCAGATCACCTGTTGTACATGGTGTGTGGACTGACTCCTAAACAATGATTGAGAGCAGCTTGGTGCATTCCCCTCTTGGCCAATCAGGGTGTGACGATGCCCTTCCTTTAAGGCATAGGAGAGGTGGAGAACGGCACACCGGAGGCATTCTGATCCTTCCTCAACTTAAGGGAAGTCTTTACTTAAGCAGAAATTGTCAGCCAGAAACCCTGGTTTTAGTCCCTTTTGAGATTTCTTTGCTGTCTTTTGTTCTCTGATTGAAAGTTGTTTTGAGTGTTCTGAAACATAGTGTGAGTGGATATTAAAGAACGCCTTTCCACAAGGTTAGATCAGGACAGATCTTGGTGCCATTCATGCAAGAGTTTTGTTTTGCCCACCAATTACCTGGTGCCTGCAGGCTTCATATTGTTTATTGGTTTAATTTCATTGTAATACACACTTCTTTCCTGAAGAGGCTTTTGTTTATTATCGAAGAGGCTTGGGAGATTTTTCTCCAAGTAAATATTTTTTGTGTTCTGTGGTTGCTAACTGGTTCTCAGGCATTTTCCCTATCAGCTGACATCTGTGTAATCGGTACCACAACAGTGTCATGACAAAGCTCTCGTAGCAATTGTGGGTTGTTTTTTTTTTTTTTTTGTCTTTTTTTATACTATTTGAATTGGTCGGATTTCCTGTACTTATAATATCCAACATAATTTAAGACAAGTAAAGAGGTTTCATTATATGAGGAGGAAATAAAGTTGCCAGGAGTTCACAGTTCAATTGTTGGCAAATGTGAAATTGCTGAGGTGCAATTTTAAATGTTTTTTCCTTCATCATAGAAGCCATTTTTGGATGAGGTGTCACTTTTTCAAGCAGAGTGCACATCTTGTTCTGGCATGAAACTACTCATTCTGACCCACAATCATCACTCTCCAGGTACCAAAGACATACTTTTTTTTTTTTTTTGTCGTCATGTGACTCAGGTGATCTGCATGGGTGTTTAACACGACTGCGGCAATAATTCATTTTTCATTAGAGCGATGAAGTGGAAGAATTGCCTGAACTCAAAGTCTGACACATGCATGATTAAAACCGGGAAGGAAATCATTTGTTTTCCTTCCAGGTGCTCTGTGAGGGTGGAAAAGACATCAAACAAACCAGGGTCGGAGGACTGTTCTAGGATTAAGAGAGGCTGTCTGGAAACTGAAAGGTCACAGTTTAAACCCCCAGTGTATCCATCAACAAACATGCGCTCGAGCAAGAAGTGATGTGTGTCAGCTAAAATGTAGGTAATGCTTAGTCCTGCCATGAAAGACCCTGAGAACATAGTTTCTCAATTGGCCTCTTACAAAAGAGATGGCGTCCTACAGCACACTTTCTGCCAAAGCTAAAACAGTGGGGTTTGTCATTACAAGAGATTTCTGTATTTGAGTTTTTCTGTGTGCTCATCTAACTGCTTTGAAGTGGCCTGGGCTCAGTATTTTATTATTTTTTGCATTTAGCTAACTAATAAATACCAAAAAAGCTTTGTTTCTTATTTAGTCATTAATATTTATTGTTTTTAGAGAAACTTGAGATTTGCCAATTAAATTTTCATGGGCTTTAAGTTTAAAACAAATGTTTTTTTGTTTACTTCCCACCAGAGCAAACACGTTTAAACAGAAATAATTTCACATTTGGATATGTGTCTGTATGTCTGTTGGACATGCACTTGACTGTGTAAATGTTCTGCAGATGTTTCATATTGGTTTCACGTTTTGAAAAGGCCCCAACGTCACTTTTCTGTAAAAGTCATGACTGTAATCTGACTCCGTAGGACCGAACATCATTTCAGTAACACAGCTGAATTGCATGTGGTCATATTAGCAGAAAGTCTAGCAGCACATTGTTCCACACTTCTAAAGCTGCAAAACTCAATTTTTCTGTTAATAATATACTTAATGACAAAAACATGAAACGCTGCCGTTCCCCTCAGCTCTACTTCAACTTCTTTGTTTCTCATGTGCACAACAATTCCAGTGAAAGAGCCGCTGGTAATGAAATTCTTGTTCCCAGGGTCGCTCCAACATCATGGAGGTATATGAGACAGAATATAAAGTGTATTATAAAATAAAATACTGTAGTATACTGGTGTACTGTAGCAATAAAATGAGTAAACTCTAATGTGGAGTAATAAATGCATGGTTCTCATTAAGCACACAAACAGGTAATGCACATAAAACTGATTTTAACAGCTTGTTAAAAGCACAAAAAACACATGCGTCACGCAAAGTTTAAAGTACTAACATTAAATAAAAGTAGTATAAAATGTAAAACCAAATTCTCTTAATTCTTAATTCTCTCTGCATGGGCATTGAATCAGTAAAATGATCTAAAATTGGACACTTTTTTTCTATCACAAAGCGTGTTGACGGAGGCATGTGGTTGTTCTTGAGGCCATTGTGTTTGAATAGTTGTTTGTATATTATGTTGTGATTTTGTATGGCTGCTATCTTGGGTGTTCTTATAAAAGGTTTTTTTTGATCTCAATGGGATCTAGAATAAATCAAAATGTGCCAGTGTGGACATGTTTACCTTCGACTTTCTGGTTCATTCTCACCGCTGTCATGAGCTTGGTTTACAGACGCAGCAGTTTTTAGCAAAGCAGTCCAACTAAAGCCACTGTACGCTACTTGCCCAGCACCAACCAGTGAACAGACACAGTGACTGGCTTATGAACATAGCAGAACGTTCGGCAGAGCCAGCAATTTTCCTCAGGAGTTGAGTCCAACAGAAGAGTGAATACTGCATTTAAATTCTTCAGATAACCAGATATAGGACTGAAAATGGATGCTAATGTTGCTCTGTGTCGTATGGATGTGTAAATGAGCAACTGTTTGATAACACGTTAACACTTAAAGGCGATAAGTGTTGTGTGAACAGCTCCCATGGTTAACTAGTGCAACAAAAGAAAAGTAAACGAATGCGGCTTTAAGAAAACACAAATTTTTACACAAGAAAATGAAGCCAGTTTAATATTTAATATATACTGCCAATGTACCAATGTTCTTCCCAGACTTTAAAAAATGTGTTTTCAGTGAGGATTTTTGCATTGGGAACATAAAATATCTCAAATCATCCCCCTAAATTCAGCTCTCATTCTAGCTAGCTTTAAGAGATGGGTGGAGGAGCACGTCTCGACATTACCTGATAGTATTTATTAGCTTTAAGCTATAAAATATAGTTTATGTAAATGTGAGTTACATGCCATGGTCTGCAGGCATCTCTTTTTACTGTCCTCATGTTTGTATTTAGGTAATGGTATCTTCATTCCCTACCTTATGTTCAAAATAACCAGTGTGTGGATAAGGTCTATTAAAAACACATTCAACTAAAAAAGATCTGAGTAGGCAGGAGAGGAGGCGGCATGACAGAACAAGACAAACTGGAAATGTTCAGTTCAGATGAATGAAAGCTTTGTCCTGAAATCTGGAACTTCTAAGCAAAAAATCCTGCTTGAAAATTTAGTTACAGCATCAAACTGGCCATTGGCTGAAAAGAGGGGAAGTTTTACAGTATCATGGGGGAGATGGTGTCTTCAGGGGCAACAGAGGATGTAAATTAAAGCCTATAGTGATACAGACTTTGGGGGGGTTGCATCTTACACTGATAGGAGTTGGAGGCCCAGAAAATCACTCCTTCACACATGCAAAAACTCACCCACCCACATTCCTGCACCCCAGTGAACGATCCCAACTCACAACAAAGAACCCCCCCATGTCTTTGTTTTAACCCAAAACACCTTATGTGTGGAGCAGGATCAGGTATCATGGTAGATGGCAATGTCTTAGTTTGAATCATTGTGTGAGGTAAATGTGGTGTGACGGATACGTAAACCAATCGGAAATAAACATTTTTTCAAATGTTTCTGGAAGCAGGCGGTAGCCAACATGTAGTTGGGTATATTTATATTTTCCCTTTTTTTTTTTTTATTAAGTTACATCACAGAGGAATGTTAAACATCGAATGAGGAAAAATAAATGTTTTGAAAGTAGAGTAACTGCTGTGCGTGCAGCCAATCAAATCAACAATCATAAAATACTAATAACATAAATACACTTAATTACAAGTAAAGGCCCTGTGGTCAAAGTCCTACTTCAGTAAAAGTAACTATTATTACAAAATGTACTTTATGAGAAGTTAAAGTTGCCAACTTGTGCAGAGAAGCTGTGAGTGATGTGTTGTGTACTAAAATGATTAGATTCTTTGTTCTGATGCATCAGTGTGTACGCTGCGTTTTACTGTTGTAGCTGGTCATGGTAGTTTAGTTTACCGGTTTTCCTGCCAGTGCAGAACATATTGTTCTGGCTACATAATTCAGTTAACTCAGTATGATTTGAATAAGACTATGACCAATTTCTTCCATAAATAAGAGTTTCTGGTGGTCCGGGTTTTTAAGAACAGACCAAAGAGCTCAACACGGAGTACAGTTTACAAGTGTTATAGCTTTATATGTTTTCAGTTGCTCGGATTTATTGAATTCTGCTTTCAAAAGGCGTCCAACAAGTAAATTATTAATTTTTTTAATACTCAAATAAAATGATCTCTAAAGCCAAACATTGATGCAATGGAGGGTAAACCAGCTTAAATCTTTTTTACTTGAGAAGAAGTTTATTCAGGTTTTTTTCAATCTGTGGACTTTACCCATTTTTTATTTATGGAGTTGGAGTTGTCCCCCACTTTTATTTGTAGTACCGAGTTTGTGCACAATTTTTAGCCAGTCATAAATCTTTATGACCTAGATTCACAGAGTGTGTGTGTGTGTTGTGTGTGTGTGTGTGTGTGTGTGTGTGTGTGTGTGCCACATTGTGTAGACAGTTCTATTATAAGGCTGCAAGTTATTGAAGGATAGAGTCTTTATAAGGCTTTAATTCCCCTGTTGCCTTTAGTGATTCAGACTATTGATAAGGCGTTGGAGGTCCACAAAATCACTGCACATTCCTGCACCCCAGGTCATTGTTTAACCCATAACACCCAGTGTGGGAGCCTCAGTGTCTGAGAAAGATCAGGTATCATTTGAGACAGCCACACTGTAGTCTGATTCCTCGTGTGAGTCAAATGTGGTGTGACGGATGTCTAACACCAAACGGAAATAACCTCTGGAACCAGGCTGCAGCCAGCATGCGGTTGTTGCTGAGTATATTTACGTTTCCTCTAAATAAATTGCGTCAAAATCTAATGACTCTCAAACAGTCTGTTTCTGTTGGGGTTATCTCAGGACTGAGAAGCTGTTTAAGCATGAATAAATGTCTGAAAGTAGAAACATTGTGGTGTTTTCTCAGCAGGTATATGCCATTAAATCAACAATCGCTACTATATTACAAGTAAAAGTCCTGTTTTCAAAATCCCACTTAAGTAAAAGTACAGAAGTATTAAATACACACAAATGTATGAATTCTTTGGACTTCTTGGTTTAATATTTGCTCTTTTTCTGAAATAAATATTGCATATTTTTTTCTCGTTTTGGGCCTTTAACAGTTATTTAAATAAAACCATGAGAAGTTTAGAGGGGAAATCTCTCTTTGGAAATGTTCACTCATTGACACCTGTAAAAGTGAGACGATACTACAGTGTTTCTTAATGATCCAAAATCATTGGGAAATTGTATTTTATTTTAGAAGATAACATGTTCTGTTAGTCTGTGAAGTAAATACAACAGCAGATATGTATAATGTAGTTTAAACAGTACAATATTTACCTCTTAATGTAGTGGAATAGAAATGAAAAGTGAAATAAAATGAAAATATCTACTACAGTGCATCAAAATGATACACTCAATTATTCTTTTTTCCACACAAAAATCAGATGGAAGTTTTTCATTGTTAAAAAATGTGTAATATGCAGTTCAGCCATATAATACAGGTACAAAAGGGTAGAAACATTACAAAATTTACAATGAGGCAGAGCTCCCACAGATTAAATTTAGACGAACACGATGATCCGTCCTTCAATTAACACGGTAGAACCTCAGGCCTTGTGAGAGACACTTTAAATGATGCTTTTCTTACGACTCCCAATCTGACAACACAGGACTAACGAGAAAACCATGCCAAGAATCATCAAGACACCAAACGCAAACGCAGTCCCCATGAGTGAGTCTGACATTCTGTCCATCCAAGTCATAAAGTGCCTCATACACGGCGTGGCATATATCTCACGTTCGTCCAGAACTGTGCAGTTTCTGGAGCTGTCTGTGCAGTTACAGGAGTTGGGCACCACTGTTGAATTGCCCCAGTCAAGATGTCCTTCGAATAAACCGCAACAGAACCCGGACCTTTCCACATTCTGAAACGACACCTGAACTTCCTTCGGCTGCTCGCTCAGCGGAAGCATCAGCTTCATGTGTTTCTTCACCTGCTCCTGAGCAGCTGTAGTCCTTGATATGGCTCCCAGCACGCCTACCGCCAACAGCATGAGGAACATGGAGAGCAGGCCCTTGAAGAACAGTGCCAGCAGGCAGCGGTTCTCTCGGATGGCTCCACAGCAGCCCAGGAAGCCCAAAATCAGTGTCACGGCACCGATGATTATCAGCATGTTCACGGCCGGGAGGAGTTCATCAGTGATCTGATAGTCTTCTCTGTTCTTCAGGGCATGGGTGGATAAACCAAGAAGAGTGATTCCACCCACAAAAAACACCAAGTTGAAGATGAAAAGCAGGTATTTGATGATGATCTTGCTGACCGTCATTGTTCAACCTCAGTGTCAAGACAGAAGCCAAAGGAGAGTGTCTGTGCCACTGGGTGCTACTACTGAAATATAAGGAGTCTGCAGTCAGAGTAGGCGGGAACTTTAAAGCCACTACCGTTTTGGGGGCGTGTTCAGTGGATGGGGGGGAATCACCTTGTTGAAAGAGAGCACAATGAAAACTGGCTTGAGGGGGTTAAGAAAAGTCGTTCACTCCCATTGTTCAAGCTATCAAATGGCAACACCTCCGGATGCCCCTCAAGTGTTACTCAAATAATGGCCAAAATCAGTGGAATATAACAAATTACATCTCTCTTTGGGTCAATAATGCCAATAATAAGGATCCACAAGGGGGGAAATCAGAAACTAAAAGTCAGATATGAAGAACCGTGAATATTAGTCAGCTTAGTCCCATGAAAGATTAGCCCTTATGTTTTGACTTTGGCATTACATGAAGTTTTATAACTAGGTTCGGGAATAAAGACGACGCCCCGAACTCACCTAATTTCCGCTCAAAACATACTTAAGCACACCTTATCTGTTCACTCCCTCCATTTTCTACATCCCTTCCCCCTAACCCTTTTTATTTCTCTCCCTCTCTTATCCAAATACAGGAACCACTGGGGCTCTTTAAGAGTTAAAGAGACGGCTCCCCCACTCAGCGTCTCAGAACCCACTCTGTTCCCTCTGACCGTTTCACCGAACTTCTCCCTCCATCCACCTACCTAACCAGTCTTCCTTCCTTTCTATCAATCCTCACCCGTCCTTCTCATACCCCCTCATCCCTTGACCCTTCCCCCTTCATCCACTCATTCCCTCCATCCCTTAACCATTTTTCCTCCCACAGTATTCCACATTCGTTCATAACGTGTAATACACTTTTATTTTTTTTTGTTGGGGGTGGATGATAGCCTAAAATTACACTAGTTCTTTTCCTGAAGCCTTGTTAAAACTAAATAAGTTAAGGTACTAGAAAAGGTAACCCTTCTCTTTGCCACATTGGATGTGGGGGGCAAAATACAGAAATTACCATTTTGAAATATTTCATGTTTTGGGTTATATGGGCTACACATAAATGAAATATGTCAATTTTACTCCCACAGTCATTTAAAATTAATGAAGTGTATAGTATGTTATCTTACCAATTGACAATTGGACCTCCCACTATCAGAAACCCAAATAATCTTGGGATTATTATTAGGGTTAATGCTGCATAAAAACTACTGTCAACACCTATCAGAGACAGAGCAAATCCATTGTATTCAAGCATGTTTTACAGCTAGAGTCTATAAGACCCCCAAACAAATGCTTATCTGCAAAGAAACAATGTGATCATCAGCACTTTGTATGCATTTATTTTAAAGAATTTTAATCCATTTTATATCCTTTGTTGTGTTGCTGCTGTTCTATCAGTTCAGTTCAATGGTCCTTCTGCTATCTTGGCCAGGACACTCCTGTGACTAACCCTTTAATGGTCAAATAAAGGTTTAAATTAAGCTTTGTTCCTATCCATCACTCAATTTTTTTTCCCTCTTGAAGTCAAACTACATGTAACTTTTTCCTTTTTAACATCAATGAACATTACAAGAAATGTCCACCCCTGCACTTGTTATTGATGTTAGTGGCACCCAGTTCTTGCTTAGGCTGCCAATGCGGTTCTTCAGAACTGCTTGTCAGATGGTCAAATATGTTTGGAAACCTTCTCCCCCACAGCTTTCCAAGAGTTGATCTCTAGTTCCTCCTATTCAGTTAGGTAATTCAGTTCCTAAAATGGTTCCTGGCCTCTTGGAAAAAATCCTGCGGTGGAAATTAGATTAAAATGAGATCGGTACATTTCTTCATATCTATTTACAGAAATAATACCCCCTTTAGGGTTGTCAGCTTCTAAAAACTGTAGCTCTGCAAGGTAAACAAGTTAAATAAAAGAGTGACAAGAGTCAAGGCAAAGAGATAACGCAAGTGTTATAAATGCATTAAGTGCAAACAAGTTATAAAGCGTGCTGTTTATGGAGCAGATGAGACAGATCTGGTGACTCACTCACTGTCAACAAATTACAGACTGGAGTCCAGTTTATGATCTTGATAAACATGAATGCATCTAGTAAAGCAGAACCATCTTAAAATCTTTTAAAACAGACCAGGTCTTTTCTCTTTTATGATCTCTGGCCATTAAGTGGTTTACAAACAGACTGTCTGCTCTCCTACAGAGCAGCCTGGATCGGTTTTGAGTAGAACACCACAGGAAGGTCCGGCTTCCTGCTCCGCATCATCTCTCGGCCCAAGCTGCATGTTTCACATTATAATAAACTGTCAACGGAGCAAATTAAGATACTCTTCTGCTGTAGCTGCTTTAATAAAAACACCCTCTGGGTATTCCAGAGCCTCCCAGCCCAACACAGTACCTGTTGATTGACAGGTAAACACAGGGTCTATCTCCCTAATGAAGCGTTCAAATTAACAGCTGATGGACAGTAAATATATACCGAGATAGATTTCCCCATGTGAAACATAATAACCTCATTCTGAGTAATCACCGACACATTCAGTGTTTAGAAATGGATTGATTACTCCTTTAATGAAAGAGCGATGACATTGCTATTTAGGGATGCAACTGATTTAACAACATGCAGCGGTAGCAGTGATTTTCTTTTTAAAAATGTTTTGATTACTCTCAAAATGGTATGGAAATTAGGTGCGAGGGAAATCGAAACCCATCTGCTAGTCCATCGGTTAGATTTAGCAAGCTCGTATTAATGCAGTGCATTTCATTAGATTGTATTAGTGTGTGTATATATGAGCTAATGAATGTAGAAATACCTTGTGGTGTTAGTAATACAATCTCCTTCCTGTAATTTATTTTCCTCATGAGATGCATTATATTGAAGCCAAAGACAAGAGATCCAATAATAATCAAGCTATCATGAGCTTAGGTTAGGATAACTGCAAGGAACGCTACACAAGTGCATATACTGTGAACCAAGAGTAGAAGAATTCAGAGTAAACTCATAGCACACTGAATATATTTCACTACAGGTAAAGTCCTGCATTCAAACCCTTAAGTAAAAGTGTTTTTTTTTTTTTTTTGTGTGTGTGTGTGTGTGTGTGTAAAGTATTATCAGCAGAAGGTTGAGCTAATTTTAACTACTTTATACACTGCTGAGTAGTTTACTCTACAGCAATTCATTATATTCTATAACACCATCATAGTGTGTGTTTGTTTGTGTCACTTTCCTGTGAGAACCACTTATCCAAAAGTTTACTTTTTTATAAGCCCAGAAAAACAGCCCAGTTTGAGCTCTGTGACAATGCAAGAGGGTTTTTAAATAGTTTATTTAGCTTAGGAAGTAGGATATTTTTTGCAACCCATAAAGGAACACTTAAAAATTAAAAATCAACATATTTGGAGACACGATTTCCACTGGATAAGGTAGGGTATAAAACATTGTAATCAGAAAGGTAACTAGTGATTAAACAGACACATGTAGTGGAGTAGAAGTACAATATTTGTCAGAGATTAAGTATTTTCATTTTATGGAACTTTTACAAAGTACAATTAGTACCTAAGGTCAGTACTTGAGTAAATGTAGTTTCCACCACTGCCCTGAACACTACTGTGGTGTACTCTGAAGAGGCTTTCACATTATCATTACCCTTTTCAGACACACAACTGTTCAACAACTCAAGACAAAACACCCAGAGTACTTCACTCAGTCCCTTCTGTTGTTTTAGCACCGTAAAGTTAACGGTACGTTATTTAAATTTGAATGGATTTCTATAGGCGGGTCACTGACGTGTCCTACTGACATTACAAGACAAAAACACATCACTATGACAACAATTGAGTGTAGTCACTGAAATACTTCCTGTGGGATTTTAAGGATGATTGATTGTGGGAAGCAGATAGATAGATAGATAGATAGATAGATAGATAGATAGATAGATAGATAGATAGCTGAAATTCAAGGCACCAGTTTAGGGTCAGAGCCAATATATCGATCAATATTAACTTATATGCAAGCTGATAAATGTACTGAAAGATAAGTTTGAGGTAATTCAAAAACTGTCCGTTAGTTTGTCCCACCAGGGAGAACTGACAAGTTAATGTAACCCTGGACAAAATAAATCAGACAATATGTCGGCTGACAGTCGTGTTTGATAAGGATCCTTTAAATTTCTTCTTTTTAACTTGCAAATATTGATATCTGCAACAACAATCCAGCATTAGTGAGGCTATACTAACCACTCTACAGTGTGTTCATTTAGACTGCAAACAAACACTGGTCCCAAGTATCAGTATCAGTATACTGATATCGGTATCAGTGTTCTTGCTACACAAAGACACAAATCTAAATTAGAAAAGAAGGGCTCGGTGTAGAGTTGGTGGAGCTAAATTAGGCTCTGTGGGGCACATTAAAATAATAAGTAGGCCTAACAACAACACATTTTAAAAGAACTTAACCAGTAGGACAAGTGTCCTCTTCCAAATGTATGTAATTTTGTTTATTTTTAAATAAATATTTTTTTTTTTACTTGGTGTGATTTTAATTATTTAAGCATCACTTGTATTTTTTTGTTGGTAGCATGATGTCATCTGTACATCTGGACTGTCATGGATGATTTTGTTTCTACTGTGCACATGTAAAAGTGAAAGAAAATCCTTATTAGCCCCACATTTTCCATTAGTCTGTTCCACATTTACACTGTACTTGTGCACTAAACTGCACACGGTAATAATGTTTGTTCTGGTATCCAAAGCAGTGCTGCCTTTTTAACATCTCTAAAACATGATTTTTTTGTAACATACAGTTGAAAAACAAGACAGAACCTTGATCCAAGACTTTACAGGTTCATACAAGTTCAATTTAGAAAGCTGCAGGTAACAGGTTCTCTAGTGGAGTTATTTGCTATCTCAGGCCACAAAAAAAAAAAAAGTATTGATTTGATGTCCTCCTCGTAATGTCAACTAAACTAAGTTTTTTTTTTTTTTTTTTTAAAAGATCGAAAAAGCAGAAGGATGAAAGCACAGACTAGTACAGGATATAAAATCAAACATTACATTTACAATATTACAGTTATGTAGCCAACTTCCTGAACTGCTTTTAAAAGAGTGGGCGAGTGAGAGGCCAAACATGAGAATTTAATCTGTTAGAAGACTGATATGATTACAAGTTGAAGCAGAAAATCTTTTTCCACCTCTGCACTCGTCCCTTCCAATTCAAACATCACACTGAGTTACAAAAAAAACTTCCAGATGATTCAGACGAGCCAAATTACATCTCATACAGACAAAATTAGGAGATGGTTTTGTTTGAGTCTTGTTGTTCAGAGACGTTGTAATGGATGAGACTCCTCTGGAATCATATTATGTCTCTATGATGGATCCGCTTTTACCAAGCTAATAAAAACCCCTCACTGGCTGCTGCTTTTCCATCACCTGCTGCTGTGACACAAACTCTTAGACATTCAGATTTTTATTTGTCCCTCACATCTGTTGGTCCATCTGACAATAGCAGCCAGCAGTGTGTGATTTCTATCAACCCTTTTTGTCTGATTCACATGTAACATCTACCGAAGACTGAATACATGTTCTTTATTTCTTTACTGGAGTTCATCTTCCAGCGACTCACCTATTTTTTTTTGTCCCCTCTCAGCTACAGAACAAATTAAATACTCCACAGCCTGCTGACAATGAAGAGAATAACTCTATGTCAACCTTTATTTAATTTAAAATAACATTATAGCCTATTCAAAAAGAAAAGTTCTTATTTGTTTTGTACTTTCATGGTTGCAACATTGTTCAGTGCAAAAAAGCTTATTTATTTTACTCTTATTACTCATGTATCTTTACTATAATATACAGTATGTTAAAAATATAATATTACAGGTTGGTTTGTAACAAAAGTGTTGGAATTGCTGGTTTAATACAATGTTTCTTTGTTTAATTCACTTCTTGAAAACACGTTTTCTATTGCCTACAGATCCACTTCAGTGCTACGATACATCCGACCTAATTTGAAAATGCATAGATCAGACTAAAAGCTTATTCAAATGCTGTTCAACACTATTCAAATTCAAATGCTCAATTGCTGGACGTCAGCAGTTGCACCTACAAAGGCTGCACGAACCACACATAAAGTTTGTTTCCACCAACAGTTGCAAGATCTATGCTCCTTCATGACTGTCAAAGCCTAAAAAAAAATCTGTGCCTGAGTAAATACACATTAAACTGCTGGTTTAATGCACTAATGACTGGAGCTCTGGTGGTAGATGACCCTGCAAATCCCACAAGGACACCGATTGTCGTGTTTTCTTGAACCAAACCAAACAAACCAGCAGCTTGCATGGTTTCTACGCAGTGCAATTTGCACCGAAAAGGCCAAAAAGAAAGGGGGAAAAAGAGCAGAGGTTGGGTGAAATCCTGGATGGAAAGATGTGGGCAACCCAGACTCTAAAGCAAACAGAGAGAACTGGAGATGAGTGAGCTTTGTAAATCAAAGTCGACTTCAGGTAAAGCAGCTCATTTACTCTGGTGTCATGCTGTTGTTCCGATGGCCCAATAGTCAGAAAAATGGTCCATTGGACCGAAAGCTTGTTTGTGTCAACAGACCGTTATTCCAACAACAAACTGAAAATACACTCTGGTATCAACAACATAGCTTCATGACTTACTACATATAACCCACCAAAAAATAGTTAGATATTAAGAGAAAGAAACTGCAGGGAAAGTGTATTTTTGGTTAAGAAAAGGGACTCGATGAGTTTGTCAGACCAAGCATGCTCAGTCGATGCACACAGGCTAAATTAATGGTAAAATGCTTCTTAACAGCACGTTAACTTGCTAATTTGTGAGGCTAATTAGAGTGAGACTGATGGGAATGCCATCAGTTTTGTAGGTATTTGGTCATAACCCAAGAAAAATAAAAAAAATTTTCACCTGATGATGGCGCTAGAAATAAAAGTCAGAGGATCATCAAAGTTATTATAATTCATCCTGAGGGGGACATGAATGTGTGTATTTTTGTGACAGTCCATCCAATGGTTGTCAAGATATTTCACAGAATAGTGAGTGGATAATAAAACTGAAAGTCAAGATATTTCAAATGTCATCCTTTTTAACCACAAAAACTCCCTGAACCAGCAGAGTCAGGAAGATTTATCATTTGGGGGCCACGTAGTTTCTGTACATACCCTTCAGCACGTTATGAGATATTGAAGTCTGTCTGTTTGTCTACCGCTTTAGGTTCATTCTTTACTTTATTACTGTTGCTTTCTAATAAAATATGTCCAGACCTAACGGAGTGAATCTTCAGAGGTTATTTCTCGTGTATCTCTGGCAGGAGCGCTTGTGACTTATGAACTTTCGCTCCTCTTCAGAAGAAAACTTCCTCACCTGTGAGTTGAACCTCAGCTGGCAAACGCTGCAGGAGACGTGCCTTCTCTTTGCTGTGGGAGGGAGGCCGAGGGTGTGATGGAGGACGGCTTTCTGAACCGGGTCCATCTGGAGGACGAAGAGAGACACAGAGAGAGGCTAATTAAAACAGTGCTAAAGCTGACCTGTAAATCAGCTTCAATCTTCCATCGCTCACTGGGCTGTAAAGAGAAAACAGGTTGCCTGGAGCCTTTTAGAAAGCCAGCCATTCATCTCTCCCAGTGCTTTCTGGCTCCGACATTAACACAGACATATTAAGAATTAATTCCCCATTTTCTTACTCGAGACACATGCCATCGGTTTTTGAATGTAGGGATTTTTACTGTAATGGCCGTAGGAAATATGCCTCAAGTGAACACTTTAAGTGCACAGCTGGCGTTCATGTATCTTTTTTATTATCATCAACAATTCCCCAGAAGAGACTAAAACCAACAATGAATTTAACCTGGTAACAAGTATTGTCTGCTTATGGTGACCAAAAACATGAAAAACACGTAAAAGAGCTATACACTTGCATTTGGTGAAATGCAGGCAACCTGATAAGTTTATTACTTGGAGATCAACTATCGAAGCGGTCAAACTACATGAACAAGATCGATGTCTTCCTGATTACATTTACATTTGCAGACGGTTTTGTCCAAGGCAATGTACAAATCAGGTACAACCCAAGTGACAAGAGATCAAGGAGAAGCCTTGGAGAACAAGGGCCTCAACACTCTGTTCCTCCACCTGTCACAAATGCCACAAGGCTTGCAGGTGCATGACGTAACATAAGTGTCTAATGAGCTAGGGGAGGATTGAGAGAGAAGATGATGTGGAACTACTCTCTGGCTTCAGAATAAAATGAATTAATTGCTTGGATTGCAGGGAAGCGAATTCTGCATCATGGAGGCATACGCAATATGAAATTGTAGCTTCACAAATACAAATGTATTTGTTAAGTAAAGATATTTGAGACATGGCACGTTTTTCCTGTAGGTGCAAATTAATTTTAAATGTGATTTAGGTCTGTTGCAGACGTCATTAACAGTCTGCCGTTCTCCATAGAGGAAAAAAAAACACTTGTCTATGAATTTGAAGATAAAAATTAAAATGAGAGCAAAATTAACATTCTATTGATCCTATCATTATTATCATGACTTGCCAATTCTGTAAAGGTTTTGGTTTTTAATTTTAGATAAATGTGACAGAAGTGAGACACAAAAGAGAAACAAATGCAAAAATAAGAGCGAGACAAAAGAGAAACATGTTATCAAGAGACCACTGTTGTGCAAACTAAGCTATGAAGTTAATGATGTGGAAAAACTGAGAAGTTTTAAGTTTCACTGAAAAGTTCAATCTCTTTGGTCTCTTTTTAGGTGTAATGATATTTTGAAAACTGCAATTTATACAGTTCAGTAGTTGCTATGAATAGTGATCAACCTCTGTTGACAGTGTAACTACACCTACCGTCTAATGTTCTCTCCGACTGATCTGCAAACATCTCGGTAACCACCTCCTGTTTTAGTCATAGGCCTCTTTGCTTTTCAACACTTTCCCTTTTTATTCCTGTCAGCGTTTCTTTGATGACAGTATTAATAATTTGTGCCCTAATATGACCACTGATGCTGCTATTTGTGATGATTTTGTCTGCTGACTTTCAAACAGCAGGACAGGAAGTTTTGCGGTGTGAAAGTCTTCTTTTTACTCTGGTGGTTTGACAGTTTGTTGAATCCGACTTGGAACAACAACAACACATGGAACTCGTACAAGCAAGCCTAACCATCATTACTGTAAATTTACCTGGCAATAGTCCACAAAGAACATAAACCAAAAAAAAGCAGGTTGTACACACATTTTCATCTTTAGTACTAACTCAGAGTGGTCATGCTACAGCACGCTGTTTGTCTGTTCTCCCTCTGTGTGGTGACAGGTCTCTGGGGAACGAACAAACACGTCTGCCTCGCTAAGAAAGTGTCTCAATAGGTGCCACTTGGCTACAGGAAGAGGAAAGGTGCCTGGCACTGCGTGGGAGGATTAATCCACCTTGACAATTGTGCTGCAGAATGTAGCCACAATGATGGTCGCTTTCTGTGGTACACTGGTTGGCTGAATTTAGGCTGTTTTCGTTAGTTCGGGATTAAGTGTTTGTGTGCAGAGGTAGAAAAAGATTCACCACTGGAACAAGAGTGGATAGTAGAACCACACAGTAATCATCTGTAACAGTTTCAAATGTGTTTTCCTATCCTTTATTGATTCATGTGATACATTAGGCATACATTAATGGAAATTAATGTGAAAATCCTTATTTGACCATCTCATTCATCTTTTTTATTATTTTAATTGACAGAAGTCTGCCTCACGTTCACTTTAAATTCAATAACCCTATAAATACATAAAACTTACTTCAACTTTTGCCATTCTTCACATGAAATCAGTTTATTAGTTACACCTGTATAGTTGACTGTAATGTAGCAGCTCCACAACAAATCTTTTTTTTTTATTAAGCCAATAATAAAACAACTTGTCCCTGGCAATCTAAACCACTCTTTTGGTAATTTTCGAGGTTGTAGTTAGTGTGGAACTGATCTTTACTGAAGGGTATTTCTGATATTTTGATTGCTACCCCCATTGGCCGCAAGCAGTAAAACCAGGCAAACAATTTAGAAAGGACTGACGCAGGAAGGCAAGTAATCAGGTGCAGGTGACAGCAATGGCTGGAACGCTTCAACAGCTTGGCAACATGGACAATCTGGCAAAGACCAGCTGAACACTGGTCTCTGTATTTACACTGTGACTGACTGAATGAGGAGCAGCTGGGTAGGCAGGCGATGGGGTCTAGTGATCTCAAGAGGAGGTCAACTCATCGAGGGCAACTAGAGGGCACGTGATGTAAAACATGGAATGGAAAATTCCAGGAAAGACACAGTTGGAGAAGGAGAAGAACGAGGCTGAAGAGAGGGAGGCAGTGCAGTCATGACAGAAACCCAACATCCTTCCAAGAACTTGGACACGGGCTGACTTGGCTCGGAGGGACTGGATGGTGGTGGACTGGTTCCAACTGACTGAGGCAAAGAGCAGGGAGAAACGGTCTCCTTCACGCCGATGCAGGTTCTGGTAATGAAACATGACATGGATCTGAAGGTGCAGACTCAGAGAGAGGGACTGACTCTGGCACATACAGGCTGACAAGGCTCAGACTGAGGAGAAGAAAGGCACTAAATGAAAACTGGTTCTAACTGAGGTTCAGGCCCTGGTTCAGACAGAGAAGCAGCCTGTCAGAGAACAACTGGATCAGGATCAGACAGAGAGGCAAGTTCAGGCTTAGAAGAGAGACAGACTCAGGATTAAATATAGCTGGAGTTCACAGTGGTGAAAAGGCAGTCTTCATAAAGAGGGAAGAGGTGTGATAATGGTTTGAAAATATGCGCCTTATTGCCATATTTAGACAGTCTGTCAAGGAGGGCATATTCATAGTGTTGCACTCGGTTGTATACGTGAAAAGTGACGAGAGCCAAAGTCAGACCCTGCTTTCTTACCTCCGCACAGATGGTAGATTGCTGCGAGAAGTTGGTGTGGATGTCAGATTGACGGTTTAAGGAAAGTTAGGGATAAGGTCAGACAAGGTGTGGAAAGATGTGGGAGGGGGAGGGGATTTCTGAAGCGATTCAAGCTGTTCTTGTGAAGTATACTGGTGTCTTTAGACACAGAGATGAGGTTCAGGTTCAAATGCAGAAGCAGAAACAGGCTCGGACAGAGAGAGGGTTTCATGTTCAGCCTCAGAAAGAGGGACAGCAGAGAGATATTGCTGATTTATTCCAAGCAAATTGTAATGGGTTGCTGGAGTTATGAGTTTTAATATGGTTCTGACATTGACATCAGATTTAATTCCAAAACACAATAAAAATAAATAGTTTTCAAAAGGAAAGCACATGAGTGTTCCTCTTCCACTCCAGTAGTGATGCTTGTTGAGTAAGAAGTGAATTCCAAATCTGTAAGTAACTATTTATTTCTCCGTGTACCATATGTCTCAAATAAAATGAGGTGTAACTCTTCATTTTAAATGGTTAAATTTTCATAGATATGATGCAATCAAGTAGTTTCTGCCAAAATAAATACAATTGGTTTTACAATCAAAATCATGCTAGAATAAAATGTTCTTCTCGCAGCAAAACAACACTGGCAATTGAGCTGTCAGCAAAGTGAGGGAGTCTCAACATGAGTCACTCACAGGGCCTATGTTCACAGACAATACCCAGTATCACAAAGTAGTCCTTGGTGGGTGTTTTCAGACACTTATTATCCACTGTGGCACTCAACATGAGAGGTTTTTAAGGAATGGTATTGTGTTTCAGCGCTGCAGCAAATTTAGTGGAATATTTCTGACAGGAAATGTCTCCACAGAGTGTGTGGACACAGAATATATGTAAACCCAAAGAAGGGGCTGGTCTGCAGGGAGATTACATGTGGTTTTCAGTAGGTATGGCTCGGGATCAAACTCATAAACTGCCTAAATCAGGACAGACGCCACATGCTTTGAGATGATTCATTCTTAAAGTAGTCATCAGTAAAAAATGCAAACATTAAAGCCACACATTTTATATTAACAGTGGTTTGTTTTCAAACAGCACTTAAAAATGTTAACCGTAGGGCAACAGTATAGTGTCATAAACCATTTATTTAATGTTTATATACTGCCTATATATGCTATGGGGGTTAAATTAAGGGTTACCTGGAAAAAGAAAAAAAAACCATGTAAATTACCTGCTCAGCAGCAAATTGCAATCAGACACAGTTCATGACTAGCTGCTAAATGCTAATCAGCTAAAGAGCAAGATATTTCAGGAGATCAAACCAGAGCTAAAAGGAGACTGAATGCATTTATGCCATCTTCATTTGTGTTTCTGGTGACCTGATAAGTCTAGTGTTCAAAGTTAGCTGAATGACTCACACAGATGTGCTTCAGATGGAGCAAACTGCAGCAAAGTCATGCCCTCTTATGCTAAAACTTTTTACACATCCTTGAACATTTGCATGTTATCCTGAATGGTATGGCTCAGTAATGCCCAGAGACAGGAGTGGAGAAGATA